TTGGAATACTATTGTTTCCCTAATGTATTTTCACCAATCTTCTGGCAAGGCAGAACAACAAAAATGAAAGGCCTCTTTTGGATAGTACCCAAAAGGAAGGTTTGTGAGCAGAAGCTGCTTTTTTCAATTATTTTTTCTCAAGGAATGTGTGTGTGTGTGTGGTTATTTCAGAATACCAATCTGCAGCATAATTTTTGAGTTTTTGGAAACACACCAAAGTTATTAAAACCTCAAAAAAATAAGGAAACAAGGTGCTTCTAGGGCTGCAGCATTAGGAAGTAGAGGAAAAAAACTCTGGACTAGTTGCTTAGTGCTTGATCAAAGAAGTAGATGTCTTTATGACTAGAAAGTGTTGACTCTGAAATATATGTATTGAGAAGCGCTTAGTTCCCTGGATGTGTTTTCCTCCTACATTTCAACCTCTTTGGTGCAGAGGTGTTCCATCATCCCAATCACATATTCATTGTTAAATATCTGAGCACTAGTCAAAACAATCAGGCTCAAAACAATCTGGTGTCATTCAAGAAATGATCCTTTCTTTGTGGTTAAATCTGTGGTAACTAGTTGTCAGTGTCTTGCCGTTTAAGGGCATCCTCTAATCTTCCACCTGAAATGGACCACCTTACCAGTAACTTTTGTACCTGGTTACAGTATGGTTATTACCATTTGTTCATTTTCATTTACGAATATATTCTGGTGAACAATCTCAAAAGTGGTTAGCAATTAAAAAAAATCAACAAATAAAAGCTTTCTTGAAAAAGAACCAAAAAGAAGATCCAGTATAGATACAGACTGGGGTTTTTTTTTTAAAGAACCTACCTAAATGGCTTGTTCCTCAGGTTCCCAAACCTGTATCCCCCCTCAAACAGCCTCTGGACATACGTAAAGGCCTGTTCAAACACTCATACTAGTGCAGTAGTGAAGAAGCTTTCCAATGGGGACTACTAGCCACTGCTGTAGAAACCATCCAGTGGAGGCGGAATTCCCACCTGTATCTGTCATTGTTGGGGGTGCGTGTGTGATGGGGGCAACTCCACTAAGCACTGGAAAGCAGAGATTTGCTAATGACCCCTTGCTCTACAAGGTTTCCCGGCAGTCTGGACTAGATTTGATGTTGTGGGGAGGGGAGAGGAAGGGATAAGAAAGTTCCACTGCACAAGCGGAAGTCCACTTTAAAAGAGGACTTGGATACACCCCATAATCCCACCCTGAAAACTCTGCTCCCTAAATAGCTTTCATGTCACTGCCCCAGTGAAAAGTTGGAGTTATTTATGTGAAGGATTAATGAGAAGATATGCACAAAACTTGACACTTGATTGCAGAGAATACTCATTCTTGGTACCACTGCCAAAGTCTTATCAAAAAGGTGATAGGGTCAAGCTGTTCTCTAAAGGGGTTTCCTGTGACCTAATGTTTTGTTATTGAACCTGAATTCAAATATCACAGATGCAGGCAACAAATTGTCTATATATACCTGGAAACACAGGGACGCGGGTGGCGCTGTGGGTAAAACCTCAGCGTCTAGGACTTGCCGATCGCATGGTCAGCAGTTCGAATCCCTGCGGCGGGGTGCGCTCCCGCTGCTCGGTCCCAGCGCCTGCCAACCTAGCAGTTCGAAAGCACCCCCGGTGCAAGTAGATAAATGGGACCGCTTACTAGCGGGAAGGTGAAACTCGGCGTTTCCGTGGTGACTGCTCTGGCTCGCCAGAATGGCAACTTGTCACGCTGGCCCAACGTGACCTCGGACCAGTGTCACCTGGCGGCACTCAGCGCTGGCATCCCGGCTCTAAGAGTGAGATGAGCGCACAAACCCTAGAGTCTGTTCAAGATTGGCCCAGTACGGGCAGAGGCTACCTTTACCTTTACCGTGCTGTGGTATATAGCCTCATACAGATTCTGTTTGTGCAGAAACTCCCCAATTTATGTCAATGTCCATAGCAGCCTCCTTGAGCTATGCCTTGTGCTATTCCTGTGGGCCTTCCAACCCTCAAGAGCAGCTTTTCACAGGGCAAAGACTAAGAGGCTGTAGCTGGAAGAAGCTGGACCAATCCCCACTGCATGGGCAGAGTTGCAGTCATGCATCTCTCTGTTCAACCCCGTGAAACGGTATTGAGCACAATATTGTGCCTACAGATGGCACAAGTTTAATTATGTTTGTTTTTATAGTGTCGGAACACATCTGGCAGTCCTATCCGAATTCTTTAATAAATCACAAATTGGATATTTCTAGGTCTATTTTATATGTCTATTCTAGCTGACACAATATATGTATTGATCAGCTCTCTTCTACAGATTTTTGTCTTATTACTTAACTAAACCTAGGGCTTACGTTGTAACACAGAGAGCTAAGGAATATTGAGTAGGGAGTAAAACATGGTGTACAAAACTTTTTTTCTGACTGAGAGAACTTGCTGATCATTGATTAGCAGTAGTGGAATGGTGAAACGTTTTTCAGTTTTACCTGTACCACCCTTTATAAGTAGTTATTCCTTCATAGTATGTGAAGGAAAATATTGCCATGCTTTACTTCAGTCTAAAACTACACATAATGAAACATGTACTGTAAACCCTACATGTAACTGCAGTTTACTAGTAGGAGCCAAAGTCTGTGGTGTCAACTTCTTCAAGTTTCTGTATGGGTCTGCTTTAGTTTTGGTGACTCATTAAGAGACACAGATAAAACCTACATGGATACCACTCATGGAGCACAAATACCCCCAATTATGTCAAAGGCAAATTGTTCTGAAATCATACACTGCTGAGCGTATGATTGGTGCTGTTTTACACTAAGGATGGGAAATCAGGGGCCTTCCAAATGTTCCTGAACTTCCAACTTCCATTGGTCCCAATTAGTGCAGCTAACAAAGATGATGGGAGTTGCCATTGGACAGTATCTGGAGGATCACAAGTTGCCAATCTCTGGTCTGCAGAGCTCTGGCATTGGATCTTTTGGATTCAGATGGAAATCTTACCAGGAATGGAGGCTAGGACTTTTCTGTATGGCAAGCATGTGCTCCACTACTGATCACCTTAAAAGTCACCAGAATATTAATGGCATTGAGATTCAAGTTCTTTCTATTATTGGTCTTGAGAAACCCCAGCTTGTGAGGAGATTTCACCCCTCCCATATCCAAGAATCTGCTGATGAGTCTGGTGATTTTCCAGAGAGGAGGGGCGGTGTTCTGCTCTCTACTTATTCCGCTCCAGCCTACATCAGTCAGTCAGAGCAGAAGGAGAGAGAGAGACTGAGTGTTAGAGAGAGATTGTGTGTATAGATAAGGTTGCTGCTAAGAGCAGCTGCAGACACTCAGTGCAGTTAAGCGTTTCAGTTTAGACCTCATTTAGCTCTGTATATAGTGTATATTATAGTTGTAGATAGAATAAAGAAGATATTCTACAGAGCTGCTCTCCGAGTCGTTTATACTCTGCTAGACTCTGCTGTGCGACGACTGTCTTCTTGTGGAAGTGAATCCGGTGCTCACAGCTCTGAGTTGTGAGTCCACAGCACTTAGACCTGTTCCTGTGCAGAAGGTGGTCTCTGGAAGTGCTACCCAGCTCGCCTAGCCCAGACGGGGCTGAAGTGGATGAGTCCAGTTGGTGACACTGGCTCAGGGGTGATGCTGACAGCTTGAAGGGGAAATTTCCTGTACAAGTGATTGTGCTGCTGTTGTTCCTTCAAGAAAAAGCAGATTGCAGTAATGTCAACTGGATATTTGAGTCATTAACTTCATTTAAGTATTCAGTTATCTAGTATACACATAGAACACTTCCCTGTATATGAAGCTATCCTTACAGGAAAAAATGGTCCTATTTGCTAATGTTAGTTTATCTGTTTTAGTGGGTAAATAGTGAATTGCATGAAGGTGTCCATAGCATAATAGTTTCGTTAAAGATGCAAAGAAGATATGTATTCAGTTCTTTGGAAGCACAGCAGAATTTTCAGGAAAATGTAGGGAATTTTTGTACAGAGACTATAGGAACGTCTTGTGGAGCAGTTTCCTAATGATGTCAGAGCAGCAGTCATGATGTGATATATGACATCAGTAGCAGGCCATGTAGAAACATAGGTGGGTCAGCTGTGACTGAGGTCTGTGTGGGGAACTTGATCATGAAGCTGATCCCTGTATGAAGCAGCTTCTCCAGCTATAAGCTCACTGCTTGGGAAGTGTTGAGGATAGGATGGTTCTCAAGCACTTGACAACCAGCTGGCTGTTGGGCGCTTGGGAAACTTTGTGCAAGGGACTGATGGGTGAGTGGAACAACCTACTCTGTCAATCATCTGTTACCAGGTGATTGACAGATGGATTGTTCCAACTATCTGTCACAGTTGGTCAGCTAGGGTGGGAATGTTTCCCCACTCTTGTGTTAGACCATAGTTTAGTGTGATGAGAAAAAGCCACTTGATCCTTAAGGCTCATATAGTTCCCCTCCCTGCCTTCTCTTCAAGCACAGTCACAAGGAGCTCCCACAGCTTGTCATATTGTCATGATCAATAAACTTTGGATCATGTTAACAACTGTATTTTTGCAACTAACAACAATGAAGCCATGTCTTATTGCAGTCACAGTCTTGGAAGAGTTGTACTCGTATGTAATACTCTCAACCCCACTCACCTCACAGCGTGTTTGTTGTGGGGGAGGAAGGGAAAGGAGAATGTTAGCCGCTTTGAGACTCCTTAGGGTAGTGATAAAGCGGGATATCAAATCCAAACTCTTCTTCTTCTTCTTTTTGTTGTATAGTTCAGTACTGAATGACTTTGGGAAATGTGCTGGAGCTCCTATTCTCTGCCACTTAGATGCATGGATGCAGGTTGTGTTCAACTTACTAATCCACACAGCTGGTTTTCCATGCTGTGGAAATCCTGGCAGTTAAACTGGCATTAAATTTTACTTGTTTTTACTGAACTTCTTTAGAAACCAGCAGCATTGTCATTCAGCTGCATTAAATGCTCATCTTTCCTGTTCTTTAATTAAACAGTAAAATGTTGTTATTTTTCTAACAGAAATCTTGGAGCAGAATTCTGAGCAAAAGAACGATGTCTCTGCTCCCAGTTACCTGAATTTGCACAGTTCTTCAGCAAAATCACAGCCAAGAGAACAAGCCATTCAGACTAAAAGTGAACAGCTAAACTGTTCTGATCAGCCAACATCCAGTTTAAGCATTATGCAAACTGCTTGTACCAAAACTTTGCAGCTACATAATCTCACTGTCTCTTGCAATGATAAAAGGTTAAGGTAAGCAAGCTGTTCATTTGAGGCTTTTAAAAGCTCAGGGAAGCATTCAGCATCACATGACAGTGATCTTTTGCCAGGGCAAGCTTTTTGGCTTCCCCCTATGGAATGATCCCTCCTCCTCCCCATGCAGATTGTTCCAGGGGTTCTACTGACCCCACACCAAGCAAATTTTGAAGGCACATGGGGGAGAAGGAGGAGGGAATCCCCATAGTGCATGTGGAAGTCCTTATGTAGAGCTTTTGCTGGCAGAACTTGGTTGAATCCCACCTTCAGTTTCTTTTATTATCACGGGAGAGAACTTCTTAAATAAGCTAACGAGAATTCAGTGGGCAGTTGTAGAAAAGTGATGGGATGAGACTGGTGTAAGTACAGTGGTACCTCAGGTTACAGATGCTTCAGGTTACAGACGCTTCAGGTTGCAGACTCCTCTAACCCAGAAATAGTACCTCAGGTTAAGAACTTTGCTTCAGGATGAGAACAGAAATCGTGTTGCGGCGGCAGCAGGAGGCCCCCATTAGCTAAAGTGCTACCACAGGTTAAGAACAGTTTCAGGTTAAGAACGGACCACCGGAACGAATTAATTTCTTAACCTGAGATATCACTGTACAGTGGTACCTCTAGTTATGAACTTAATTTGTTCCAGAGGTTTGTTCTTAACCTGAAACTGTTCTTAACTAGATGCGTGCTTTCGCTAATGGGGCCTCTTGCTGCTGCTGCGCCGCCAGCACACAATTTCCATTCTCATCCTGGGGCAAAGTTCTCAACTCGAGGTAACTCTTCCAGGTTAGCGGAGTTTGTAACCTGAAGCGTGTGTAGCCTGAGGCGTTTGTAACTTGAGGTACCACTATAGTTACCTGATGGTTGAGACTCTTTGCAGAGCCGGAACAGGTATCTCATCGGACGGAAAGGAAGACACATCTGCACATGCTTTGTGCATTTATAGCAAATGGTCTATCTAAAACTTTACAAAACAGTGCTGTGTTTGTAAATTGAAGAAGCAGCAGTTTCTGCATTGCATTTCTTGAAAGTTTTAAAAATCCAGGAACAACTATGAACCTGTGAACTGGTATAAAACTGCCACCTGGATCTCGGACAGAGGCTCCCCCCCCCAGACTTACTTACTTCAAACCTATGCCAGGAAATGGACATGGGACCTTCTGGGTGCGATGTGTGTGTTTTACTGCACAGCTTTTGTCCTACCCCTGAATGTAGCAAGTATCACTTTGAACGAGAAGATTCTTTGTTGAACGAACTGATCAGTGAAGTTTTTCTTCCTTTTTTCATTCTAGCTCTACTGAAACGCAAGGAAGAGAAGTTATGCCTGACAACATGGATCCTTTACATGTCACAGCAAACCTAGATAAAGAAAAGGATATTGCATTCCTCTTAAGGGAATTGGACGTTCTAAGGGCAAACAATAAAAAGGTACAGCGAAATATTCTAAGCCTATTAACCTACTCTAATTTTTCTTTATTGTTTGTTTTGATTGACAAGATATAGCTTCCTTTTGTTGCAGGGATCATTTGATTCATGGTTTGTTAATCTTTGTATATTCTTGTCTTCCTTTTTGTTTTTGTTTTAAAATCAGTGACATCACAGATAGTGCCATCTAGATCCTTTTGCAGTTCTTTTTGGCTCAGATTTGGAAAGGCTGGCCTTGTTCAGAACCGACTATGATTTAATTAAACACTCTGAATAACCTGGATCAAAGCTGATAGAAAGAGACTCCCATGTAACAAAGCAAACTCTTTGGTTTGCATTGATGATTAAGAGATCCTTTGTACATTAAAAATTGTACATATTTACAATATTTTTTTCCACTTCTCAGAACAGTCAATCTGTGCAAGGTTTTTGAAGTTATCAGATTAAGCATCCCTCAAATGTGCTTTGTTATACTAACAGCAATCTATTTTCATAAATTAAATGGTAAAATCCTCAGTAAATTGTTTTGCAGATATAATCACACTTCATTATCAAAATAATACTGTTAAATTAACCATTACATTTTTTTGTTAAGTGATAGAAGTGCATTGTGGATTTTAGAATAAAGATAGTAACACAATAAGTTAGAAATTACAGATTATTATTGATCTCAAGTGCTGAAAAATATGTATGCATTACACTTCTGTTCAAATGCCACATTGTTTTCATTATGAAGGATATATATCCTCTGAAGAGAAACCAGAGTGTAGAGACATATCCAAGTTTACTTTTTATTTTTTGCTCAGTTTATTTGAAGTTCCTTGTATGGAGTAATTGAAACCTCTGTTGCACTGTTTATTAGCTCCCTTAACTTTTAAGACCATGATTTTGCAATGCTGTTGCATGTATGTATGTATGTTTATTATTATTATTTATTCCGTTTATAATTCCATCCTTCATGAAGAGATTGCAGAGCATGCCACAAAAAACACCAGTAAAATCATTAAAACACGAGTTTAAAGCAACAGGCAAAAATTAACAAAGGACAGGTAAACAACAAATGATGAAATCAATAGCAACTGGCATATTAACTCAATCCTTTCCAAATGTTTTGGCCATGTGGCTTAGTGTGCTTTTCTTGTTTGTTTGTTTGTTTGTTTGTTTGTTTGCTCTTTCTTGTTGTTAATAACCACCTATCTGTGCTGTACGATATGGAATGTTTGACGTAGCACTGGAGCTTCAGTTGGGTGGGGTTAGGGATGAGAAAAATCAATTTAATTATGTGGTTAATGCTCTGCTACTACCCCTGAATTATGCTGTAGTTTAGGGTGAGCAATTCCTGTTCTGGAATTGCTAACCACATCTGAAAACTCAACCAGGTTAATTAGCACACTTTGGGGGCCTTGACCTTTTGCTTAAGGCTGCAATACTTTGCACCCTTTCTAGCAGGTAAGTTCTGCTAAGCTCCAGAAACTTCCCTTCTCTGGTCAACATGCTTTAGGATTGTTTTCTTTGTGTGTGTGGTAGGTAGGTTAAGAGTTTGTGAAATTAAATCTGGAATATAGGTTCCTTTCCCTTCATAATGCATCAGGATGGAAGTGGGCGGCAATTTCATTTTTAAAGTTATTTATATGAAAACAAAAATGTAAGAGTTGTGTTTACGTTGCTCGATGTTTGTTGAGAGAGTCGTTTTGTGAGAACGAAATGCATCCCTTTCTTGCAAGTTAATATTGTGCCTGTGCACTTTTACATACCAATAACAATGTCGCCGTTTCGACTCTTCAGCTTCAGGACCGGCTGTCTGAAAAAGACAAGGAGCTGAAGACAATAAAGCTGGACTTAGAGCTGCAGGAGAGAGTGGCAGAAGCGAAGATTGCGGAAAAGGCTGCAGGTGCAGTAGATGAGTGTTTAACAGATGGCCATAGGGCTCCTACAGCCCGCTTGGTTGCTATATGACGTGGCCTAATGAACATTAGATGTATTTGCTAAAGGAGGGGTGCTTTGACTTCTTTATATGAGGCTGTTTAAAGTTGCTTGGAAAAGAGGTGGCTTTAACATCCTGGTACTGGTATTAGTAAGAGCTTTACCTGTATTCATACTGATTTGGGCATTAAATGAATTGTTAACACCATGTCAATCCAATCACAAAAAGGTTGTTTGTTTTGTTGGAAGGTCCTGAACAAACAAGGGAAATAATGATTACCACGGCCACTACCTTTCAACCAGCAGTTCAAATACCCACTTATTGTTTTAGCTTGTTCAGAGAGATGCTACCACCCCTCCTTCCACACACCTTTGTATGGAGATCTTCATGTTTCTCTCAGCTGGAGACCCGAACCTCTGTTTGGTGAGCAGGGAATTCAGGGTTTTAACCAATGAAAGAAATGTTGCTTTAGAGTGATGATAGATCTTCGCCAGTGGCTTGCTCTACGCATCATACTGAGGCCAAACCACAGTTTCCTGGGAGATGTATCAATACAACGGCCAGGATCAGGGCCAGACCGCCACCATCTCTTGATCAACAGAGAACTGGGGAGTTTAAAGAAACCTGCTTCTCAGCTGATCAAATTCCCTGCCTCCATCTCGTGCCAGTAATAACAGTAATATCTGTTATCTGGTTTCCTTTCTTTCTCTCCAGCTATCCAGGTTTGTCGTTGTTTAGTCGTTTAGTCGTGTCTGACTCTTCGTGACCCCATGAACCAGAGCACACCAGGCACTCCTTTCTTCCACTGCCTCCCGCAGTTTGGTCAAACTCATGCTAGTAGCTTCGAGAACACTGTCCAACCATCTCGTTGTCTGTCGTCCCCTTCTCTTGTGCCCTCAATCTTTCCCAACATCAGGGTCTTTTCCAGGGAGTCTTCTCTTCTCATGAGGTGAACAAAGTATTGGAGCCTCAGCTTCACGATCGTGTTACTGACATTTTGACTCCTTTTCTTAACCTCATTCAGCCCTCTGTTCTCCTGTATCCTCCTTTAGTTTTACTCTCTCCCTGCCCCTATCACCTGCATGACCCTTTCTTCCCAGTCTCTTGCATTCCTTAGAGATGGGGATGGGCTCATTAGATACTTGTCCAACTTGAAGGCTATGTTCTATTTTCTTTAACAAATTGCATATTCGTTTATTCTAAGCCAGAGTCTTGGTGTTAGTTCCTCGTCTTAGAAAACTCTTTTGGCTGTGGCTCACCATGACTATGGGCTAAAGATCCTAAAGTAAGTTCCTTGAGTATATATATGTAATGGTAAACATATGTAGACAAGGACGCTTGGTGACAATGTTGTGAAGCTGGTAAGAGGTTTGAAAGAGAAACGGGAATATGGCTTCTTCGCTAGCATGATTGTGAAAAGGTTGTAACATTATTAAAGCTAATTCTCCGTAATACAGTGGTACCTCGCAAGACGAATGCCTCGCAAGACGGAAAACTCGCAAGACGAAAGGGTTTTTGGTTTTTTGAGTTGCTTCGCAAGACGATTTTCCCTATGGGCTTGCTTCGCAAGACGGAAACGTCTTGCAAGTTTGTTTCCTTTTTCTTAAACCATTAATACAGTTGCGACTTGACTTTGAGGAGCAACTCATAGCACGCGGTGTGGTAGCCTTTTTTGAGGTTTTTGAAGACTTTGGTGATTTTTGAAGCTTTTCCAAAACTTTCCTGAAACCGTGCTTCGCAAGACGAAAAAATCGCAAGACGAAAAAATCGCAAGACGAAAAAAGGCACGGAACGAATTAATTTCGTCTTGCGAGGCACCACTGTATGCTTAATAGTAGTAGATCTGACTTGGGTAGATGTCATTCCCATATCATTGGCAAAGTGAATGGAAGTGGGTTGGGGAATAGTGTAGAATTTTCAGTTGATTGGCTTTCTACAGTGTCAGTAAAGAGATTGATTGATATTACCAACATTTGTAAGATAGGCTAGCCATTCTGAATCACAATGACAGAACCCTAAATATTCGCAGCACAAATTAAATGCATATTTAAAGTAACCCTATAGTTTTTTTGACATGTATATAAAATACTACCATAAAACCCTTACATAGATCATAGTTACATCTTGATTATCTACCAACTAAACATTTACAGGATGTGAACTGTTTGGATTAAATTCCAAGTTATATGTTTGTTTTGTGGATGTTTGCACAGCGTTTTACTTCTGTGTATATAATAGAGAAATATTTTATTCAGTGTAGACTTTCTTTGCTCATTCAAGCTCATGGAGGAAAACTGGATAAAAAACGCATGTGCCATAATCCAGCAGGGTGATCTGTGCACAGAAGTGGCATATGTATGGATGGTTCCCTGGGTAAGATCCTGCTCGCTGTTTATGGAGAACCCCATATCCTGCACTTGAAGGTGGCACTTATTGTGTGCTTTGCTGAACTCTATAGATTTTGCTTCTATTTTTAAAAAATCTCAAAAGCAACTTATCCCTAGCTGTATTTGAATTAAGATAGGTTAGTTTGGGTTGTCTTCAAAAGATGTTAATACTGTATGTTGCTGGGATTCACTAGTGTTAATCACTGCAGTTGGTATTAAACTAAGTTTTATTCAGGGTGGACCTACTGAAATTAATGGACCTAACTTAATCATGTTTATTAATTTCAATGAGTCTACTCTGAGTAAAACCTAGTTGCTTAATACCCATCATTGTGTGTTTTGCTTATCATATTTAGATTCCACTTTTACATCCAGATACAACATACAGATGAATGTTTATCTTACATTTGAAATTGTGATAAAATCATGACAGAAGAGCGTGTAATAAAAGGCACTGGGGAAGTGTGTTATAAAGCTTTTACCTTGTACTTTGAGAAGGATCTTAAAATAATAAAACTCAAGCTGAAAAGCCCTTGTTAATATGAAACAGGGAGGAAGAGTACAAAATACAGAATGTTGATCCCTATATAATCACTAAAACAATATTTCATCAATTTATCAAAGCTGTGATGTAACTTTTATAAATATTATCTATGTCTAACAAACATGTATCTTTGTGTGTGTATGTGTGTGCACGCGCACACACGCATTTGAAAGAAACACACATGCAAAAAGTTTCCCCCGGAATTTCCAGTTGACAAAACTGGCTTTGAAATTCAAAAGCAGCTTCCCTTGTTAGTAAGATCCCTGCTTTTTTGGTGTTTGAGAAGAAGTTAACTGGGAGAACTAATGCGAGAAAGCAGATGGAGAATTAAAACAGCAAGGAAATATAGCTAGGGTGGAAAATATGCACACCATCAATGTGGATGCTCATGTAAGCATACAAAGAAAATATGCATAGGTCTGTACCTTGGACCTGTGTTCAAGTCTCATCCCAGCTGTCAATTTACTGGACGGTTTTAGATGAGTCCTAGCATTTTATATATCTGGGCAGAAAATGAGAATAATAATGATTCAGTCCTTTCACATTTTAAAAAGCTGGGTTAAACATTTTTGTATTAGTATACATTTCGTTTTGTGCAAAGTTCACTGGGTTTGGGAATCTGTGTGCTGCTACATGCCTCTTTAGAAATACCGGGGCATATTTTAGAAGAAATGGTCAGTTGACCAACTCAGTTCTGTGGCCACTAGAGGCTGCTATTCCTTCTTAGTGTTTCGTTAGTTTATTCATTCGTTCGTTTAATTATTTAAAGCATTTCCCTCTGCTCTTCAGCCAAAAAGCCTCCCAGAGCAAATTGCAAATTGTCCCTTTAGGATTACAATGTAAAAAGACATAGGAAGCTGCCTTGTATTGGGTCAGGCCATTGGCTCAACTCAGTATCTTCTGCACTGTCTGGCATTGTGGAACTTTTACCTGGAGATGCTGGAGATTGAATATGGGCCTTTTGAATGTGAAGTAGATGCTGTCCCAGTGAGGATAAAAGCCAACTGTGGCACTAGTTCTTAGTTCCAAAGTTCCTACAATGACTGGCTGCAGTGGAAACAATTCAAGGAGAGAAGAAGCCCAACATTGCTGTTTTTCAGCTGGCCAGAAGCACTGTCCCTGATTTCCATCTCCCAATGCTGGTGGAACAATGGCTGCAAGATGACAATTAGCGTTTCACAGCTTCCTATAGTTGAAGGGAAAGAGGTATACAGTGGTACCTTGGGTTACATACGCTTCAGGTTACATACTCTTCAGGTTACAGACTCCGCTAACCCAGAAATAGTGCTTCAGGTTAAGAACTTTGCTTCAGGTTGAGAACAGAAATTGTGCTCTGGCGGCGCGGCGGCAGCAGGAGGCCCCATTAGCTAAAGTGGTGCTTCAGGTTAAGAACAGTTTCAGGTTAAGAACGGACCTCCGAATGAATTAAGTACTTAACCCGAGGTACCACTGTATATGTCAAAGGTGCGAAAGCAGGAATGGAATGGAAGATGGATGGAAGAAAAGGAAACATAAACTAGAGGACAAAAATGTTAGGGGAACCCAGAGGCTGAGAAACCACACAAGGTGTCAGTATGCCTAATTCTGAAGCAGATTAATGTTAAACGGATGCGTGATTTAAGGAGACAAACAGGCAATCATTAGGATTAGTAGAAACATTTTGTCATCTGATACACAAACTATATGTTCTGGTTTCCAAGGAACTGAGATATCCTTGTGACACATAGCTCCACAACATGAAGACTCGCAAATACCCACAACGTGTGTGTGTGTGTGTGTGTGTGTGTGTGTGTGTGTGTGTGTAAAAAATAAAATCCATGCAGTCAATATTTTGTGGAAGAAAACTTGAAAACAGATTTGATGCTGTAATTTTGATCATTATGTCCAATTAAGAATGAAGCTGTCTATGGAGTCCTCTGATAAATCTTAATGTTATGATTTGTCTCTTCACGTAAAAATGTGTGTGGCTTTTTTTAATATTACCAACCTTACATTCTTGAGCATACAGATAGTCCACTGAAGGCTAGCAGGCTAATTCCTGGAGATAGCACCAGGTTTTAGCCGATGAGTACTGTGTAGTGCATAGGGTACATGACTCTCATATCAGATCTAAATCAGTGTTGACTATATCTGAAATAGGAAGGATAGGAACTTGCCTTAGTGAGCTAGTGTGAGGATGAGAGAAACTAAAGCATTTTCAACCTGACCTGAAATGTGCCACTGTTAGATTTTGAATATGCATATATGCTAGTTTATCCAAGTCTGTCCCAATAGTTCCTGCTATTGAGGCCTGAGGATGTGCAGAAGGTGCTTCTGACTGTCCATCTAACCACTTGCCCTCTGTCCATCCTGCAAGTTGTGGGGTGTTGATCAGGGAGGAGCAAGAGGTGGTTAACACATCTTTATGTGGGGGGTTGTCCCTTTTGTACTTCCTCTGTTGAAGCTG